GGCAAGCGCATGTGCCCTATAGCAAAAACCTCTCAAAAAAAATTTTAAAAAACACTCACACCGGGTGCGTGTGCATTCAAGATCCCGAGAGGAGACTGGAGAAGGGACTGTGGCATAGTCATCCCCTCTGGAGGGGGATTTCTTGCTTTCTGTCTCTCTTTGTCTTTATGGTAAGCACATGTGTCCTATAGCAAAAAAATCTCTCTTAAGAAAAAAAAAGAAATGTAACTAAGATTATGTCAGAGATGGATTACAGGTCAAATCCAGCCCAGTCTTAGTATTTCTTTTTTTAAAGAATTCTTTTTTTTTTTGGAGAGGTTTTTGCTATAGGGCGTGTGCGCTCGCCAGACAGACAGACAGAGACAGAGAAAGTGAGAAATCACCTCCCGGGGGGATGGCCACACCACAATCACTTCTCCTCCATTCTCCTCGCGGGATCTTGGGCACGCACGCACATGCGCCTGGCGTGAGTTTTAAGCCACCGGGTCCGGGACACGAACTGCGGTCGACTACATGGGAGTCCAGCGATATAGCCATTATGCTAACTGCTGGTTCCCTAAAGAATTCTTTTTTATTACTTTATTTGCTCACCAGGGAGAGAAAAAGAGACACAAGTGACAAAGCAAGCTGCCAGGCCTGGGACTCAAACCATTGTCAGCCAAGTGGGAGTCCAGTGCCTTAACCACCATGCCACCTGCTGGCTCATTTTGTTTTCTTGTTTTTGTTTTTTAAGAGGTTTTGCCTTAGGGCATGTGTGTTTGCTGGAGAGACAGTGAGAGGGAAAGTGAGAAATCACCCCCCACCCCAGGGAAGATGGCCATAACACAATCCCTTCTCCTCTATTCTCTTCTCGGGGCCTTGGGCACGCGTGCCCAGCATGAGTTTAAGCCATGGGGTCTGGGACTCTAACCACAGTCAACGACATGGGAGTCCAGCGACATAGCCATTACACCGACAGCTGGTCCCGAAAGAAGTACATTTTTGCACCCATAGAACAATCTGAAGTGAACTGGCTTAATTCAATCTCAGACACAGGGCACAAGAGTGACTTGTTTTGTTTTTATTTATTTTAGTTTCTTCCATAGGGCATGTGCACTCACTGGAGAGAGAGAGAGAAAGAGAGGAAAAATGAGAAATCACCCCCACAAGGGAAGATGGCCACATTGTAATCCCCTCTCCGTCATACTCCTCTTGGGATTTGGGGCACACATGTACACACACCTGAGTTATTTTTCAAGTTGCCAGGTCTGGGACTCAAATCACACAGTCAGCCATGTGGGATCCAGCACCTTAATCACTATGCCACTGCTGGCCCAAGGAATGAGCGGTTTTAAGTTGTGAATGCATTCCCTTGTCAATTATGGCTCTCCGACTGCAGGGTTACACGCAAGTCTTACAGGCATTTATGACTGGCTTCATTTTCTCATGTGTTGATCCCTGCGGGAGCTTTAAGTATTTGACCAAATGTTTTCCACTGAGTCCTGTGGTTGAGAGGTGATTATAACAAAGGCCAAACTGAATAGAAAACAATGATCCTAGACTCTGCTGCTTTTTGTCATTTTCTGTGCCCCTAGTTTGGTACCTCAGAGCCCAGGCCTTATCTGGATGCCTTCAGCCTAGAATACAGTTCTCTACTGGGGTGACTTTGCTCCCTTGTTCCCCAGGTAACATTCTGGTAATGTCTGAGGACATTTTTGGTTGTCCCAATTTGAGAGTGCTACTAAATGTATCAGACTCGAAGGTCTCCCACAAGACTCACTGGTCACAGCTGTCAGTGCTGAGGCTGAAAAACCTTGCCTAGAGAGACAGGCTCACTCTCTCGGGGAAGTGAGAGATGACCACAACCTCATGGGCATGGTCTTGGCTCCTGCAGGTCAGCTTCACTTCTGAGCAGTGCTGGGATATTAGGCAGTCACAGTGAAGTCCCAGTTCCCAAGAACAAAAGATGTGGCCCTTCCCTGGTCCCAGCAATTCCCTGGCTGAACCATGGCAGCTGCCTCTTCACTCTGCACCCCATGCTCAACCTATTAGCCCCAGGTTCCAGAAAAACAAACCCATGCTTTGCGTAGCCTTGCAATTCACAAACCAATTGGATAAGTATCTGTTCACCTCCTAACACCCTTGTGAGGTAGGAACTAGCACGATTAGTTTCAACAGAAAGGAGGCCAAGGCTACCTCGGGTCACATGGCTTGCCCGAGGTCCAACAGCTCATACAGAAGTGGCTCGGTTCTGAGAAGCAGCAGCCAGCTCTGCCTCTGAATCTCTGTACTTTTTTCTGCTGCACAAAGGAATGCTCTACCTTCTTAAAAAATGAGCCGATGCTCTGGCACCTGACTGTGCAGGCACTGTGCCCAATCTCCGCAGGGTCTCAAGCTGGGGCCTCTGCAGGCATGCTGCCCTCTACAACTCACCCGCCCGCAGGGTCTCAAGCTGGGGAAACTGCAGGCATGCTGCCCTCTACAACTCACCCGGAGGCACTGGTGGCCCAGGACTTCTCCAGAAGTTTCCCCAAAGGCATTATCTGCCTGTTGACCCCACACACCCCAGCTCGGCTTTCCTCTCTCCACAGGAAGAGCTGAGTAGGACATTTCAGGCTCCTTCATTAATGGGTGCGGTCAGCTCTGGGGAGTGACCACTTGGTTAATAAACAGAATTCCTGAGTAAGAACTAGAACTCAGCAGAAAAGGGCTGTGAATCTGCAAGGCAAGCTTCAGGGCTTCCTACTTCCTGCTCGGACTTACCTTTGGGTCTCCTTTCCTTGGCCTCCAAAATGGGAATTTCCTAGTAAATTTCCCAAAATAAACAGGTGATTGCACTAGCCTTGTAGCACAGTGGTTAAGCACTATGCAAAGAAAGCCAGAACCCACGTGGCTGACTGCAGCTTGAATTCTGGCCCTAGTGACTTGAAAAACATGCCAGGAACATATTGGGGATCCTCCTATAAGATGGAGAAATGGAAGAAAATAATTGTATTGTGACCATGCCCCAAGGTGTGTGTGTCGGGGGGAGGTTGCTTTCTCTTTCTCTTTCTGGTGAGTATATGCACCCCCTGGCAATTAATTAAAAAATAAAAAAGAGCATCACAGATGGCCTGGATGTTAAGGTAGCTGGATCCCACAGGGTTGACAGCATGTTTTCAGTCCAGGACACAACGGCTTGAAAAACAAGCCAGATAGGGCCAGCAGGTGGCATGGTGGTTAAGGGTGCTGGACTCCCACATAGCCGACCATAGTTCGAGGCCCGCCTGGTGGTTTGCTTTACTTTCCTTCTCTCTCTCTCACTCTGTCCCTCTCTGATCAAATTTTTAAAAATAAAGTTAAATAAAATAATTCTTAAAAAATAAAAAAAAACTTAGCCATTAAAAAAGTAAAACACGCCAGATGCATGTGCAAGCCCTAAATCCTGAGAGAATGGAGAAGGGACTGCAGTGGGACCAACCAATCCACCCAGCCTATACCCATCCTCATGTGCCTCCAGGGGGCATATGCACCCTATAGCAAAAAAAGAAAATAAAAAAGAGAAGCATAACAAGAAAAACAGGTGCTTAACAAGAAATGCTCCTTTGGGGGTCAGCAGGTGGCGTGGCGGTTAAGGGCACTGGACTCCCACATGGCCGACTGCAGTTCAAGTACCAGACTTGGTGGCTTGCTCTCTCTTTCCTCTCTCTCTTTCTGTCCCTCTCTGGTCAAATTAAAAATAAATAAGTTAAAAAAATAAAGTAATTCTTTAAAAAAAAAGAAATGTTCCTTTTTAGACCCGGAGTCAGTGGTTTCTATAACTAAGGTTGAGGAATGGAGGCAGCAGCAGAGGTACATTCAGGGCTGATTTCCAGGACACAGGCCCAGCCGTCCCTTTCTTCACACAGTAGGAAGTGTAATACCTCAGTCTAACGCAACCTCCCTTGTCTTTACCTGAGGTCCTGTCTTCCAGCTTGATGTAGGCCACCTGCCCTTTTGCAGTGATCCGTAGCCGGCCACTCCATGATGGTTGGTCCAGCTGCCACTCTGCAGCCCTAAGAGGATAAAAACCACTAAGCCTCTGCTCCATTACGCCAGTGAGAATGAAAGGGCTGCTTGTTCTAGATCAGGAGTTGGCAGACTTTCTGTAAAGGGCTAGACAGTAAATACTTTTGGCCTTGCAGACCACCCTGTCACAACTAGGGAATTCTGGTGTTGCAGAGTGAAAGCAGTCAGTCAGTACATGGCTGTGTTGCTGCTTTAAGTATGCTAACTAGTATTTTCTACCGCGCATGGTTGTATTCCAAAGCTATACACACGCTGAAAGCCGAAATTCACACAATTTTCACATTATAAGATACTCCTTTTAGATTTTCTTCACTTAAAAATAAAAAAACTCTAAACTCATGGTTTATACCAAAATGCAGTGAGCTAGCTTGCCAACCCCCATTTTAGACTACAGAGAGGCCTTCTCCTAAGTGGGATTCCTCCCAGTTTCCTTTCTGTAAGGATGCAGCTACTGTGGCCTGTTGTTTCTGTGTGAGACTTGGCTGGGGGGTCAGAGTGGCCATTTGGGAACAGTAAGACCATTAGTAGGAGTACAGGAGAGCAACACACATGGAGGAAAGTGAATAGGTGCTTAGGAAATGAATTCTTTTTTTTTTTTTTTTGAGAGGTTTTCGCTATAAGAGCGCATGTGCTCGCCAGACAGACAGAGACATAGAGACAGAAAGCGAGAAATCACCCCCCAGGGGGGATGATCACACCGCAATCCCTTCTCCTCCATTCTCCTTTCAGGATCTTGGGAACGCATGCACACGTGCCCCGTGTGAGTTTTAAGCCACCGGGTCCGGGACTCGAACCGCGGTCAACTACATGGGAGTCCAGTGACACAGCCATTACGCTAACTGCTGGTTCCCAGGAAATGAATTCTTCAAGGTACCCTAGGCAGAAAGAAACTCAGGACACCACGGACCTACAGCAATGGCCTCTTTGGCTCTTGTAAAGAAATTAATTTTACATTTTAGCTTTAAGAAGCTCAGTAAAACCCCCAAACAGCAAAAAAAAAAAAAAAAAAAAAAAGCTGGGGTGTTTCCAAGAGGGTTTTCTTAGAAGTGCCAGCCCGCGAGAACTCTGGATGAAGACTGCTTTGAGGGCCAGACTCTCCATTCGCAAGCCAGCAAAGCCCGTTTCAGTTCCTCTTACTGAGGCAACGGCCCTCACATTCAGGCTGAGGGCTGGAGATTGAAGTGCAATGCCTGGAAGTTTCCCCTATGCCACCCACACCAGCCAGCTCTCACACTTGGTAATCTTGCTCTCGGGGGCCAAGAAGAACCAAACTCATCCTACTAAAGACCCAGCAGGGGATGGGAGATGATGGTTGGGTGGCCCATCTCCAGTTTGATGACAGAACGAAAACCTATGTTTGTAATCGTTCCTATGGTTGTTTTCATACTGTTTTTAAGTTATGTTATGGAGGGAGTAAGTGTTCAATAAAATATCTGTTCCCTGGAAAACCAGCCACAAGCCCATGTTAACACCTGGAAATAACAAGAGGACAGATATGCAAACACTCCACCATTCTTGTGGTGCAGACCAATCCTTATTCGCGGATTTCCAAATAATTTGGACAAACTGCTTTGAACAGCCACCCCCTTCCCCCAAGTATCAGCAACCCCCGCCCCACACCAGTCAATGGCACAAAACAGCCATAGGCCAGGTCATCTGTATCAGGAATCTCTTTTTTCGTTTAATATTTTCGTCGTGTTTGATAGGTGATACATACACAGGGTAATAAAATGCGAACAGTAGAAAGGGTAGAGTACATGAAAGGAAGTCTCCCTCCAGTCCCGGTTCCCCTCCCCAAGGCAGTTTCCTGTGTTCGCGTCCAGATAATACATTTAGAAGCAAAGGTGTCTTTATTCGTCTCGGGTGAAGATTACACCAGAGAAGCGCTGAGGGGCTCCTCCCAGCTGCTGCCAGCTGGGATCAAGGGTGTAATTCATGAGCAGGGAGCTGGGTGGAGTGGGGTCCCGGGCTTCGGCCACCGGCTCAAAGCGCTCCGGCACCGGTCCTTCTGTCAGGTCTGGGTTCTTCCCTCCACCCTCTGGATTTCCGCCTGGGATAGGGCCCCCTCCCTGCTACCGCGTTCAAGGGGCCCTTCAAAGCCATCGGTTAGCGCTGAAAGAGAAAAGTCTGCGACGCCGACGCCACCCCCGAGCAAGTTCAGGGTACCTGGCAGCCCGCCGGGACCCCACGGGGCTCTAACGCCTTCCCCGCCGCCGGAGTCCGGTACGTGGAACTGAGGCGGCCCAAACTCTGGGTCCTCCACCCTGCTGTGGCCTCAAACTGAAGAGGCAGTACCACTGTCTCCCTCGCCCTTAGATTCCCACAGTGGATGCTGGGGGGCGGCCAAGGGGTTAGGTCGAGGCTAGCAAG